AAGAATTGGTACCATTTTCCCTGGGGGGGGGGGAGGGGAGGGCCTTTTTGGAGGACTAAAGTCCCTTTCCACGCCAAGGGGGGAGCGGGCTGTTCCGGTGGAAGGGAGAGCTGTTACAGCTTGGAAAGGGGGGGGAGTTGGACGGGGGGTGGGGCCGGGATGTATTGGGGAAAAGGCATGTGGCACACCAGTGGTTGGCCCTTTTTATAGGGTTCCGGGGGAGTAGGGAGTTTTTTTCCCCCGGGCCCGACCATGGAGGCCCATTGTTTCGGGGCCGGGGGGGGGGGGGGGGGGGTGCACTCATGTAATGGTATGCCGTAGTTGGTAGACCATAGACCTCGCACATCTACAACGCCGGGACGGAGCCGGGTTTTCGCAGGCCCAGGTCACGTTAAACAAGGACGAACCAGAAGTATGGTCATCATCTTTGCGAGAGCCAAACCAGATGTATGCCATGGGCTGATTTCTTTTCTTACTGCTGGTTATAGTTTGGTGTCTTGTCTCTCCTCCGATTTTTCTATTATCCTGCCGTCTTCTTCGTGTCGCCGCTGCGGCTTTCTTTTTTATTTTATTTTTGACTCTGCTGCTCTTTCTCAAAGAAAACCCGAACGAGTCAGTTGCCTGTTCCTCCACTGGTTTGCCTCGTGTCGCCGCTGCATCTCTCTTTTTTTTTTTTGGCTGCGCTGGCTCTTTTATTCGACGACGAACCAACCAGTTGCCGGAAGAGGCTGGGGAGCCGAGGCGCCGGGGGCGAGCGGGGGGCGGGGGGCGGGGATGGAGAAGAGGACATGGTCTGGAGGTTCCCCACGCCGGCGGACCGAGATTGGCTCACGCTTGACGATCCTGTCAAGGCTATGCAGCACGGCTACTGTCCCCAGGCGAGATGCCGTTCTTTTGTGTACAGCAGTGGTGGCTCCGATATAAGAGGGGGCTCCGATATTGTAGACAATTGATGGGTCGAAATCGGTTATTACGGACTCGACCCGCTGTAGTTAAAAGTTGTATACCCTCGATGAAAGAGGGGCGAGGGCCGTGGGCCTTTGTCACACCGCCCTCTTATATCGGAGCCATGACTGTACGTCGTGCCGGGTAGTGTACCTCTAGCCTGTGAACACATGTTCTTGCTACAGCAGTATGTGCTTTACCTGCCGAACGTTTTTTCGTGAGGGGTTAGGAACTATTCTGTTGTTTATGTTCGCCTTCTCCAAGCACGGGCACCGCGGAGGTATCGCCGATGAAAATGATCTGGTCAGCGCTTTTGCAGCCAGCCCCACCCGCAAGGAAGGTGAAGTCTAGATCGGTCGACCTCCCGGCGACCCGATTGGTTCCCGTTCACCACCTTCACGGTACATTCCACGAAAAATTACCGTTCCGCGTGCGAGCTCGTTGCCTTACTGCTCTATGCGCTTCCTTCCCGTTACACCCGCGCGAGTACCGTATATGACACAAGATAACACACCCCCTGGACCGATTTTCAAAGCTCGATTACTCCACGACGAAGAGGATGCATAAATGAAACAATACGTTTTCGAACAGCTCTCGACGAGACGGTTCCAACGCCGCCGTTTTCGGCGCTGTGACTCTTCCTGCTGTTGGGGAAA